AATAAACCTAATTAGCTACTCCCTAAAACAAAACAATGAAACAAAATTTTTTAAAAATGTATAACTGCATATTTCCTAAGGTGACTAGATCATTGTTTAGCTGGTCCTCTTTTGCAGGTATTTTTGTGGGCCCCATGTAGAGTTTAATTTCACTAATGCTTTTTGAATGGGTCCCATAGTCACGTGGTTCAAATTTCAAGATGCACAAGAGGGTAACAGTGAAAAGTCTCCCTCCTACCCCTGCCCCTAGCACCCAGTCAGTACCTCTCCCGGTTCCTCAGGTGGCCTTCCTAAGATATCCTGTGCACATACAAGGAAATGTGTATAGAAAGTCTTTTCCTCTTCCTCTCTTTATTTTGTGCAATTTCAGCCTATCCTGACCTCCCTTCTGCTCTTGCTGTATTCCCTTTCACACCGTCTCCAGGAGCGCACTTCCTGTCCGTGCCTATGGCTCTATCGTCTCCTCATGTAGCTGCACAGTAGGGAGAGCCTCTGTCATGTAGCCACCCCTCTCCATGGATGTGGAGGTAGCTTCCACCCTCTCACTACTGCCAGCTCTGCTAAAAGAATAACCTTTTACACATATTACTTTGTATGTGGGAGTATGTCTACAGAACAGCTTCTAGAAAGGAAAAGGCTGGGTTAAGGTAGGTTAAAGATGAAGTTACAGGCTTAGGGGCCATGTCCTTAGCTGTTGGCCAAGTTGCTCTCCATAGAAGTTGGACCAGTCGACACGCCAGCTGTGAGGGTGCCTAGCTTTCCCACATCCTGGCCAGGACAGGGTGCCTCAAGCCGTTTGACCTTTTTTTCAAACTGATTAATGTGAAAAGCACTATTCCAGTCCAGCTTACATTGTACATTCTCCAGTTTACATTCTCCCACGAGTGAAGCTGGGTGTCTTTTTCCTTTCTTGTGAACTACTCATCATATCCTTTTCCCATTTGTCTACTGGGTGGTAGTTGTTGCAATTGATTTATTGGAGCTCTTGAAGTATTAAGTTTGTTAGCCCTTTGTGAGTTGCAAATATTTTTCACTGCTAATTGTTTTTCTTTCATTTTTGTTTCTGGAATCTTATTGCCATGCAGACACCTTTAATGTTTATGTAGACCAACCTCTCCCGTGCTTCTTTCTTGGTTTCTGGCATTTGTACCCATGGAAGGGGTTTTAAGTAGAAATTAGTAAAGGTTGGTCATATCTGGGAATTAGAAATAGCCTGAGGGGGCTGATGTGAGGACAGACCAGAAGGGTGCGAATGGAGGCGGAGAGACCCTGGGTTCTAGTTCAGCAGTCCAGAAGTGAATGAGAAGAGAAACAATGAGTCATGTATCTCAGCGGATGTTGAAGAACCCTGGCAAGCTGCTGGGGTTGGGGGCAGGAGAGAAGAGGAGCCGTTTCTGGATGCAGGGTTGCTGGAGGCAGGGCCTGGCCTTTGTACTCAGGGCCCCCCATCTTGCCCCCTATTCCAGGAGGAACTGGAGTTCTGCGAAAAGTTGCTACAGACCTGTTTCTCCACCCCGACGGACGACAGCATGGATCGGTGAAACCCGGTGGCTTCTCACCCTTTTTTGGTGGGAACCCCAGGCCTCCTGCCTCCTCTCACTTACTGGGCCCTCTCCCAAAGGAAAGCAGGGCCTTGTTGGTGCTGGGCTGGGGTGTGCCAGCCCGTCTCCGCTCAGCCCCCTGGAGGGGGGCTGAGAAAGGGGCTGGCTCCTTGGACCCCTCTCATGCACTCACTCCATTCCCCTTTCTCGTGTCCACACTGCTGTTCCAATAAAGGTGTTTTTCTCATCCACCTCCTTCACTGCCACCTTTGTCACCTCCCTTGAGGGTGCTGTGGGAAGGGAGGAGAGGCACGATCTTAGGGGACCTGGGGAGCCCTGGAAGGGACGGCAGCGGGCAGAACCTAGGAATAATAAAAGTATTGCTCTCTAAAATCAAGACCCATTGTCTCCTTTTGTCTTCCCTGCCTCTCTCTGGAGAGGGAGTGTGGGGGACACCCGTCCTTCTTAGGTCCCCATTGTCTAACTCTCCTGTTTGAAGAATCCCTACCATAGACGTCCACACCGCCCCGCCTAAGGCGGAGGCCATATTCCCTCCCAGCATGCTGTGCAGGGGCGCATCACGTGACTTCAACTCCGCAAATCAGTGCTCGCTGTGCCTGCCTGGGCACCGTGCTGGCGAAGGCGGGATCGAGTGCTACAGGTCGGGAGGTCCAGTGCCAGGGATGGAGGCCACTCTGAGTGGCAAAGCACCCAGCCTTTTTTCCAGCCTTCTCAGAGATGGGGGGCGGGCCTGGGACAAGGGAAACTGCTTCACCTCCTTTAATAAATTCCTTTTCAGTTTAGCCAGAGGTGGTTTCGTTTACAACCAAGAGTCTTAACTGATGGTATATTCCAGAGGAGGAAGCTGAGCCCAGAGTGGTTGATCCGTGGACAAGTTCATAGCCTAGAGTTAGACCTGGGCCAATTCCAAAGCTGTGCTCCTCTTCCCTGTATCCTGGTTTCCTAGCCCCGTTTGATGCCAGTCTAATTCCTCTCCTGTGGAATTTACTTGTATGGAGAGGTTATTTTCACTCCCCTTCCCAAATTCAGGATAAATCGAAAGGTAGCTACAGGATCTGAAAATTGGAGATTAACTATCATCTGCATCACTTTTAAAGCAGATCTGAGAAAGCGGCACTCGTCTTGCTGACACGTCAGCCCAGCATTAGACATGCTTGTGTGCCTGGTCACAGGCAGTACTGGACATGCACAGTCCTTCCCCTTGGGTGCAGGCAGCAGGCTGGAACAGTGGGCAGGCTGGTTTTGAGAGGAGAGAGAGCTGGGGGGCTGAGCCACGAGGCCCATCCGTTCCACTAAGTCATTCCTCAGCCCCTGGAAGGGGTGGAGAGGCCAGGAAAGACAGTCAGCAATAGGAGTTTCTCCATGTGGAAACGTGAGGAGTGAGTGTTCTCACCAAACAGTTTAAGAAGCTCCTTCCAATTCTAATACAAATAACAGCATCGTCTACCTGTGTGCTCTGACAAGACTTCAGTCCTTAAAGCCTCTGTAGCTTTTCCAGGTTCTAGGAGATCGACCTGGTCAGCTTCTCAGGTTCTATTTGGTGCTTAAAGCCCAGCGCCTGAGCTTATGTGTTAGAACAGTGTGGCAACCATGCGATCGTACTGGGGAAAAAAGCAAGCAAAATACTGCATAAACAATGAAAGAACCTGACCTAGAAGATGACTCAAGGAACAGAAGAAAGTGTCTCACTACTGCTTTAAACTGTAAGAATAGGAGCCTGGGTCCATTTAAAAACAAGACCTCAAAGATGACAAAGACTGTTAAACCTAAAGAAACAAACTGAGAACTGTGGTAATTAATAAGTTAGATGGTTCTGCATTTTGGCACTCTCTCATCCCACCTCCATGAGAGAAGTACACTTTCTCACTCCATGGTGGTGGGGTGTAGCTGCCTGCCCCAGGACTTTGGGCTTGACCATGTGACTTGCTTTGACCAATGGATGGTAGCCAATGAGGCAACCTGAGACTTGAAATGTGCTAACACAACTGGTCTTGCTCTGAGGTGCTTTGGTCTTTTCTTCTGAGATGGCGCCCTGGGATGTCCACTGGTGCCCAGAGTATAAAAGACATGGGAAACAGAACAATCCCGCCAAACTTCACACATGCAGCTCTAAGCTGTGAACATGATAGGTTGTGGTTGCCTGTCACTAAGCAGTAGCTAACTGATACAAGGGCCAAAAAGTATCACATGCAAGAGATACACAGGAAGTGGCAAGGACCAGAAGAGACATGGCTGTAAAATCAAATTACTGACATGTGATGATCAGTGAATACAGGTGGAAATGACAAAGAGTAAAGCAACTAGAAAGAAGCTAACGGATGTGAAGGACAAAAGCATAACAGACATCCTTGAAATAGAGAACTGGAACAATAAAACGTTCCTGAAATGAAAAAGGTAAGTCTGCCGGTTAAAAAGAAATAATGCTGAGTCCTTACACACACTCAGCGCTGACCCTTACAGTGGGCCTGTGACATGGGCACGGAGGCTCTGAGGCTCAGAGCCAGATGGGGCCTTCATGATCACTGATACACAGTCTAGGAGAACCCTTCCAACAGGGTTCTGTCTGTTCAGTCCATGCTGTTAGAGGATTTTGTGCAGCAACTGGCAACAGTAAAGACACGGCCTCAGTACAGGCCTAGAAGTGGGACTTGAGTCAGCCGGAGGCACCAAGAAGTAAGGCGTCGAGAAAGAACGCGGCAGGACAAAAGCGCCTGGCCTTGGTTGGAGAGAAAACCCGGGATGGACTCCCTCGGAGCTGATCCTGGAGCCAAAACAGGAATATGATTGGAGGAGACAGGATAGCAAGCGGATTTCCAAACGGAGCGAGGGGAAAGAAATCCTGGAGCAGGACATTCTGTGGACTTTGGAACGGAATCGCAGAAAAAAGCTGCCCGAGTATGCAGTGGGGCCTGCGCATTGGGTTTATTCCGGGAGAGACCGTTGGCACAAACCTGCGCAAGCGCATTTGCGGCGGAGGTATTCTGGCTGGGCGGGGTCCGCAGCGGCTGGCCCAG